CTCTTAGATTACTGTTCAACGTTTAGATTTATTGAGTGTTTTTATTTTAATTTGCATTTCCACAAGCTGTGGTTATTGTAGCACAAAGTCGTGCTTTTATGTTCAGTGTTCTGTTTAAACAAAAAGACTGTTTTGATAAGCTTCCTAAGACTTTGTCGTTCTGTCTCAGACATAGCGATAACTCGCCTCACTCTATTAGGATTATAGGACTAAGCAGTACTGCCATGTCAAGTATAACCCTACAAATCCTATCATCATCGTAAATTCTAAGACTGCTATGAAAACATCATAATGAGGAATCATAGATGGAAGTGACTGCATATTATTGAATTATTTGATTAACACAAAGTATACAAATCCCACCTATCTAAGCTCATTCGAAGATTGATAGGAGTGCTCCAGGGAGCACGAAGAATCCACCGGTGACATACTTAAACTTTCAAGAATAGCTTTTAAATATTTCGAGAAAAGTATTGATCAGTTATGAATATATTAATAAAAATCTTAAAATCAAAAATCTATAAATGGGATGGATTAACAATAAAAAAGAATGTAATTGGCACTCACTTTTAAGCTGTATGGGGAAACGTGTATGAAAAGGCTAGAAGAGAATTGTTATCTGCATAGAAAAATGAAGCAGTTCGGATAGCCATTGTGCGGATTTCGTAAAAGTAGATCTTGGAATGATCTCTGTGAGTTTTTCTTCTCTTAAGATTGTTTTATTGCTTCAAGTTCAACGCTTAATTTTTAATTTCCTCATCAGATAGTTGTCCAGTGCGTATCTAAACGTTCTTATCTATATTCAGAGTGTTTTGAAAAATGTAGGTCTTCAGAAATTGGGGTGTTTCTGAGAAGAAATTCTTGCATAAAGATTTCTTCTGCATAGGGATCAAAGTCACTTTGGCATACTTTCTGTACTGCATGATTTTTATCTTTAACGAGCTATGTGTGTTAAAATGAGTTGGCAATCTTTGCGTAGGAGGCTTTGTTTCATGCAGTAGCTAATAGCAGTATAATTATCCAAAGGTTGGAGATTATTTCGTTTGTTTTTCCTTGAAAACTGATGGCTCAACTCTCTCAATCACTTTCTATAAATCTCACTGGTCATCCAAGTTTTGATTTCAGTAAAATACACCAAATATGATAACTTCACATGATTAAAATTTACAGACTCTTAGGCTTATGGGAGCGAGAAGTGTCAAAAATACTCAAAATAATCTAAGCTCTATCAAATTCGAAACACGAATTTTCCAATATTAGCTGAACGTGCTAACCACTCACACCATTGAAATACGAATGGTAGAATGCGGTAATTTAAAATCATCTTGATATTTTGTTTTTACCTATTAATAAAAAAGAGAATTTCTATTACGTTGGCTTCAAATAAAATTGTAATTCTTTGCTTAGTTGTTTTTTCACAGTTGCATATATCATCTTTAAAAGGCCCACCAGCGGCCGAACGGTAAAGTCGCTGAACACTGATAGTTCGGTCCGAGGTTCGAATCTCGCGAACGGGCTGGTTGCAAGGGCGTTTTCGTAGTTTTCCCCATGTGTAACGTGTACACGAGCCAGTTTCCGTTAGAAAGTCCTCCACGAAGGCATCCTTCCCCTTAGACAGATAGCCCTCGAGGCTTTGCCAAGAAACGTTATGGCTAGAGTAATTTCGCCATACCCACCCATTTTAGCTAGCGAAAAGCAAACTTTTCTCTTCTGCATTAAAAATATGTCCATTGAATGCTCCGTCGCAATTTTAGCCTTTCTTTTAACTGTATTATGACGGCATATATTTTGTACTTCTGCACTTTCCTCGCAATCTTTTCGGTAATTCAGACCCTACTTCAACCTAATTTTTTTTTCAGTTAGCCATTTTCTATCTTGAAATCTCTCAAGTCCATCTTTGATGCAAAATTCGACTTGGGTGTGGGGGTGTTTTTCTTTTAATATTTTGTAGTCAAGTATCTAACGTTTCCTCCAACTCTGAAATTTTCGTTTATCAGTGCTGATAATCTTTACTCGGCGAACTTTTTGGAATCTTGCATTCTTTTACTAAATATTTCATTCATATTTGAGACATGAGCATCCACTTCCTTTAAAATATTTTCCTTAACATCCGATAGCAAACACATTTTTTATAGTTCCTAGTAGGCATAGTTAGGATATCGAAATTAACCAAGCGAAAAAACGAATAACTCACACACAGAAAACCTTCGGTACTAATGGGAAATATTGAAGCTTGAATTATTTATTCCATTACATAGTTATCAATAAATTCTACGCCTATAGGGTGAACTGTTGATGTAGTCTTCCTTGAAGAAAAGACATGTTTTTATTTACAGGGCTTCTCTCGTACTCCTTTCCTGTTCTACAATTCACTTGATACAAATAAAATGTGTTGTAAGCTTCGATTACGGAAGCAAATTTCTGCCCTCTTTATTTACCGGTTTAAGGGATACGAAGGTTGAGAAATTTAATTATTTAATCCATTCAGCAAAATTTATTTTTCTGTGTTCGAATTGTTGGAGTCCAAACAGAGAGAGTAAAACTAAACGAAGATTTGAGTCATAAAAAGAAATAAAATGTGCAAATTTAGATCACAAATCTAATTAATTCTATCTAAAACCAACACGGCAATTCATAAACTGGAGGCTTCTTGAAACGCGATTCTGCTGTATATAACAAATAAAAGTAAATGAGCGTGTAACCGACAAGGTTTATGTTTGGTTTATGTGAGTACGACAAAGCCTCGAAGGCTATCTGCCTAAGGAGAGGCATGCTTTCGGGGAGGACTTTCTAAGGGAAAGGGCTCGTATACACTTTACACATGGGGAAAAACACGGAAACGCCCTTGCAGCCAGCCCCACTCGCGGGATTCGAACCTCGGACCGAACTAAAAGCGTTCAGCGACTTTACCGCTCGGCAGCTGGTGGGCCGTAACCTAGAAGAGGACAATGGACGTTAGGAGAGAAAAGCCTTCTGACTGATGGTGAATCATTATGTGGTTGACAACGTTATATATAGAACGAATTCCAAAATAAATCACTAAGTTTCTAAATAATAATGACACCTTCCGTGGATTAATTCTTCTTCTTTGTGTTTTAAATAATTTCGAAAAAATATCATTATGGTGAAGTGATCATAAAAAATAAAAAATAAATAACAAAAATTGTTTTACGTATATTGATTAATCCATAGCTTTTTTTTGTTCTAAGTAAACGTGTGTTACTGTATCTCTATTAATCAAAATTAGCATAAAAAATTAAGAAAATGCCTGCTTTTATATATTTTAAAATTGCATCGTTCTTGATTATCTATTAAATATAAACAACATTTTAAATCACATTTATAGAAACAAAATGCATTATGCTTTGTGCTACGAAATTTACGAAGTAAAAGCTATGTCATTTAGTTATTTTGGTATACGAGTAGTTATTGTTGGTACAGTAATTAAAAGATTTCATGGTTTATCTATTAAATTGAATCCAGACAAGAAGCAATTTTATTTTATATACGTCTTTAGTTTATTGACCTGCCACTAAGAAAGAGAACCACTATCGATTACTTTAAAGCAATCAGTTCAATAATTCATAAAATTTTAGAAATTAGAGAGCAGAACTAAATTAGAGAGAGAATTAATTTTAAAATTATTAAATTAGAGAGAAGATTAGGTTATTCGAATAAAGAAAAGCAATTAAGGGATATTTGCCTAAGAGGAGAGATGCTTTCATGGAGGATTTCTACAGAAAAAGTGGCTTGCGTTCACGTTACACATGAGAAAAGCTGACCATGCCGCCAGCTCGTTGGCTCGGAAGGGAGCCCAGGTCGAATTTCCAATATTCAGGGATCTTAACCACTCAATCTCTAGCAGGACTAAATTAGGCATAAAAAAGTAGTTTTACTTACAGCTTAAGTGATTTGCCACTGGGAAAGAAAATTTGCATCTATTTGCTTTGAAAAGAATATCAGTTTAAATATTTCTTTCCCATTTCTATTGAATAAAAGGAAGAAAGTTAACTGAGTTGCTACGATTCATTTTTTTAATTACTATTCATTTGTTCGAAAATAAAAAATTTCAGATGATGACATCGTGTATAAATTTATATATATATAATTATATACAAAGTGTCCTACTCGAAAGGGGCTCTAGAAGCTATAACTTTACTGTGTAAATATTTCTCCAAATAGAATCAAATTTGGACAGAAGGCATTTGTTACATGAGAAATTGATGTGGCAACACTGTAATTCGTAAAAGGCCTAGGAAATGCATCAATAGGCAAGTCTGTGAGGTGGTTTCTTTCTTTTTTTTTTTTTTTTTAAATCATGTGCTAATAAAGCAGAAGCTGTCACTGTTTCGTCGCCCCTGACATTTTCCTCTTGAATAATCATTAAAGAAAGGTTTACAGGAACAAACCACACATCCTCGATGAGTTACAACAGAATTTCCGCCGTAAAATCCGTGCACTCCAACAACCAAACTTACAATCTAAGGTTCTGGCAGCCACGTGTGCAAACTTACAACTTCTGTTGAACATCTTGTTAAACTGTGTTTAGAAATTGAGGAAGATCATTTCCAGCTCCCTTTGTAATTTACTTTCATTTCTCATGCATACAGGTCATGTTCAGATTTCGTTTTATTTCGTATTATTCCTATTTTCCATATCAGATTTTGGGTCCGCTTGCCAACGGGACACTCTGTATATATATATGTGTGTGTTGTGTGTGTATTTATTTTACATATATATATATATATATATACATGTAATATATGTAATATTTATATGTATAAAAGAACTTTAGTTGCGAATGGAAGACCAAGAAATTAGAAATTAAACAATTGGTTTTTCTTAAGAGGAATAAAACCGGTAATAAGCGAATATAGCCAGATAGGTTATCAGCTCTTAATAAAAGGGAAGCAGACCGACTTTTGCACCAGGTTACTTACTAAAGGTAGAAAGAACAATCATGGTAGATTACACATAACCATCCTTCAATTGCTTATCGCAGTAAATGGATTGTTATCATATTCATCACATGCCAGTTTAGAGAAAGAAACCTCATCATACTTTTTGGCACTTCAGTGTTTGTTTAGATTTTCTGAAGCCTGGAAAATGCATACCCAGTTACAGTTTATTGTCATATTTATGTATTCAGTAAATATTCAACTGACTGCAACATATCGAACATGTAAGTAATGTAATGTAGTAAATTTTAAGCTTACTTTAAGTAAATTTATTCAATTTATTGTTATATGCCCTTTCGCATTTACTAGTTTTTGCAGTTATGAAGAAAATGTCACAGTTCTCTACAGATTTTATCCAATGGCAATTTTTGTTGCAATTTTGTCACAACATTGAGTAGTGAATATGAAAAATTCTTAAAAATCTGTATTTTTACAGCACTGTGTTCTATAGCAGTCCACGACTGCAATTTGACCGATGTTACGATGCATGTTAAGCCAGATGCATACTCTCGTTAACAAATATTAATAGCTTACGCAAAAGTTCCTTTGTACTTACAGCTAATCACACAATTTTTCAAAATTGCTGGAATGAACCGCAATCTCTTTAATAATTATTTAGATATTAACTTTAGAATGAAGAGTAGGTTTGTATCTGACGAGTAGCTTATAGCTCACATGAAAATGTATTTCATCACCATTCAAATTAGTATTAGTTTTTAAACATTAAATGCATCTGATTTTTAGTTTACATAAATTATTTCTTTTTTACTTGATGTTTAAATAAGAAAGTTTGTCTAGTTATTGATTAATGTACTGTAGATGTCATCATGTTTACGTCGTTGCAAATTCAGGAAAAATGTGTAATGCCCTGGCCGGGATTCGAACTCAGGACCTCCCGAATACGCGACGATCGTGCTTCCAATTACACCACGAAAACCGGCGGGAAGAAGGGAGAAAATACCTCATAGTACCAGGGATTCTCAACCGGTGGTACGCAAAGAAGCAAAGTATTTTTAATTATTAAATTAAAAAATTAAAACCCCAACATCCTGATTGAGTTTCTTCCTCTAACACTCGTAAATTATGCGATCTGAGCTTTGTTCAGAGTGGTGGTGGTGGTAGTAGTACTTTGTAATGGTGGTGCTAAAGGTTTTCAATTTTTGTTTAGGTGGTACGCGTTAGTGAAAAGGTTGAGAACCGCTGGCTTTAACTATACTGAGAGTTTGGCACTTTCGTTTCCTTTATGTTCTGAAACCAACATCAGATGTAATTGAATTTTACGTATAAAATGTATAAGCAAACTACACAGCTATAGATATTATGAGTAGTTTAAAAACATTTCTTTGTAAAATAGTAGAAATCTTTTATATTAATTAAAAGGAAAATTATTTAATATACACTGCACGCAAACATTTACAGGGTATTATGATTTGTATATAAACTGCTAATGATGAAAAGTTTTAATAGCTGATATATAATACATAAGTATTGTAAGACATGAGAAAAGGAAATTACGCATGGGGCAAGGAATATTTAAATTTTCTCTTGTTTTTTGTCAGAAAACAAAAAATGCATGTTTTGTACAGGGCGTAAAAAAATAAAAATAATTGCGATTTCTCACTTAATAAATGATATAATTTTCCTTAGCCGATAACAATGTTGCATATCCGTGAATCTTTGGGTCAATGAGGTTATCAAGAAGGAACTGGGGTATTCTCTCCCATTCCTGTAGAAAAACGGTTTTCCTTTGCTGGACTGCATTGGAGAGTGGTGAGCGACAAGCAACCCTTCTCTTTAGAGTGGCTCAAACATGTTTGATTGGGTTCATATTTGGAGAAAGTACTGATAAATCTATTGGAAGAATTCCTTCGACTGAAAGGAAATTGTCCACTAGCCAAGCAAAATGTGATTTGTTTTATCATCTATGAGAATGAATTCATCCCTATTGCTGCAACATAACAAACCACAAATGGTCTGAACTCCTAAGTTTGTTAAGTCCTCAGTAATCCATTTCTAATAATGTGCAACTCGGTAAGCGCATTAAGACGTCCCAGACCATCAGTCCGCCTCCACCAAATCGGACATTTTTTAACACAAATGCAGGATTGTTCCGAGTGCTACATTTTCTTCCAATGATAAGTCTCCTATTGTCAATTTTTAAATTAAAGCGAGTCCTCCTGAGAAGAGAAACACTCCTCCATTCGTACAGAACCTATCCACATTAGTGACCCTTTTATTAAAACGTCAACTTAACAAATTACGCTATTCGTGAAATTAGCGGAACAAGTCATCGTTTCTTTCGAGATTCAATAGAACATCAAAGTGAAGGTAAAAATCAAGCAATTAATTAATAAATCCACAAAGCAAATTCCTCCTATAAGCTTTGGCTCGGGTATTCTAATTATGCGATCAAAACACGGCTAGCAAAAGTTAAATCCAATTGAGGTAAAGCTAAGAGCTGAACGAAAACAGTTTGTAGAAAGTCAACGGTAGCTACCCAAAGCTCTCTGTTAAATTCAAGAATTCTGTTTTTATGTACATGAATCAATTACATCTATGTGGGAGTTGATGAAAGTAGAACAGGCAAAAAATATAAAAATAATAAGAAAATATAAAACTAATATAAGGGGTTAATGAACGAAAACCCCTATATTTTTATTTCATATCCATTTGAGATGATCGTACCTTCTGCGAACAGCTCGTTGGTCCACAGTTAAAGAAATGCAGACTATTGGTCTGCAAGCACATAAACCAACAGTATGAAATTAGTTTCAAATAGTTTAAGTTGAAATACGGATGTCAGTAACCTTCAAAAGGTGCCATTTCGAAAGAGTTGCATTCATACTGGGGTGTCTTCTGGCCATTAGTGTTAAATACATATCCTCTTCTTGTGTTGCTGAACGTCAACAACTTCTCTTAATCTTTTTCTGACCTTTCCGCTTTCCTGAAACTGATTCTATAGTCTCTAAATGATATTTGGCACATTTCAAAGGCTTCCACTAAAATAAATTGGCTTTGACCAGCTTCGAAACGATGACAGTCGCACAGAGTTTTCCATTCCGACTAATTCATGCTGTCAAAACATCTTATTCACTGCTAGGAAGTACTCAGCGTATATCAATTGCTTCTAATCGCCTCTTACGTAAAGAATACTGCAGGTTGATTTTCACTTCTTATCAAAAACGCATAATTTGCGATGTCACAGAAAAAATGTACATACTTTGAAGTTTATAGGCGTGATAATTTTAATTTTTCATCCTTTTCCTTCACTTTTGTCAAAAAACTAGTCAGTTACATAGTTGTTTCATATGAATCCTCATATGAATGGAACGCATCGGCTTCCTCCTAGATGCTATGCGAGCTTCGATGGAATGAAACCAGCCGTGATATTCGATAGCAGAAGTAAGTTCTTCACAGTCGTTCAGAAAATATCAAATGTTACGATACTGCTAAGAATCTAGTACATTTTACTTAAGTGAAATGCGAATTTCTAGTTGCTTGATGACAGAAAAATATCAGATGCTACATATTAAATATGTAATCATTCATATAATGCGAGGCAATGTTACAAAAAGAATGTTCTCGTAACTAACGCGTAACTTATAAGAGAAAAGAATATATTTATTATTTTATAAATTATAAGTATCGCTGTAGTTAAATATTATTATTATCTATAATTAAAAAAAATGTGTCAAGAAATTTCCTTTCTTTTTTATAGTACTCCAGCAATTAATAGGATGATGCAATAAAATGCTATCATTACAAGCTGCACTTTAACTGCTCTCTCGACTTAGTTGGTATTTAGACTAATAATAAACTAATCTTATACCAAAGGAAGGAGGGAATTTTTAAGTATGAATTTGTAATGGTTTAGCTTAATTTGTTCACGCAAAGCATGTGAGGGCTCATTGCCGGCTCAACGTATGGACAGTATGAGTACTGTTCGGAGGTCTCCGAGACTATAGAGATATATTTTACGAAACTGATTGTTGTTCTTAAGAGTATGTATCTGTGGGTGTCTAATATACTGAAAGAATAAGTCTCGGATACTAAAAAAGCTGGGGCCTCCAGAATTCTGTTAAGATGTTTTCTGTAAGTTTCTCTTTGCGAAGTCTATCTATCGAGAGGAACAGCTTCATGAGAAAAAATAATTTGTTTTGTTTAAAACAAATATCGAAAACTTTCTCAACAAATTTCGCCCAAGAATCGAACCGAGGCCGAAAATACCGATATTAAGCAACTTTAAAACTGATAAACTAGGGTAATTATATAAATGTATCTGGCCTCGTCAGAATTAACCCAAAGCATAATAATGTATTTTCCCTTGGGATAAATATAGTTTAATTGTGTACATATAAATACTGTTATTAAAATAATAAAATAAATTTGCATTTAACTTCTAACTACTTTAAAGACTTCATATTGATATTTTGAACAATTAGCTATTATGTTTCAGCATTGTTTTTCCAAAACTGTATTTAAAAAATAAATTTAACAATTATTAATAGCTAAATTCAGCAGTACTTCATAACATATGACAACCAGAAATCATATTCATTTATGAAGATATAAATTATGAATGTTCTCATCATATGTGGAGAATTTAAGGATATCTTATCGAAAATCTTTCAAAATCTTTTAGAGTATATGAAGGGAAATAAAATATCATGTGACGGAAAGTTGCAATTGTAAAAGAATCTTAGCACAGTTAGTAGGAAAATGAAGCATAAAAATACTTTAGACAACATGTGTTCTGGCGTAATTGGCATTATGTACATATTTGTCATAAAATAATTATCCATTTCCACTAATGCACTCTAGAAGAGTAAAATTCACAGTTCTATTACAGGATTAACGTCATTAGAATCCGTTATACATAGTACCATTTTAAGTTTCATAGTTCGTAGGTGTTTTTCAGCTGTACCACTGATTCATACTGATTCATATTATTACTACTATTATAAAATGTGAGAGTACTATCAAATGCATTACAGTTATTCTCAGTCGTCTAACGCTTTAATAAAAGAAATTAACGTCACAGAAACAGGGAAATTTTGTTTCCAGTCGCAGATACAGAAAAAATAAAATTAATATAATAATATATTTATATATATTTATACATCGTACATCATTTTTCATCTTATTAGATTTTTGTTTCTTTTATGTTCTCATTGCAGTTTCAATGCTAGATTTAGGAAGTTGTTCTCGTAATTCTGTCTCAATAACTATGGAATCTATGACTCAGAATTCATCGGGAATCTTAGTGTCATCTTTAAACAATACATATAAACCTGGACTGCATTGCATTATATCCTTACGACCACCTATGTCCTATGGCATTGTTATCAGCATCAAGAAAATTGATTTGGGTCGACCTTCTAGAAACTATGAGAACTGCCAAACATACTTAGAGGTAAAAATATTGTTGCTCATTTTGCAATTTTCTGCGTTATTAATTTTAACATTTGATAAAATATAATAAAATAAAAAAAATAATGTACATCTGAGCTTAGCTTCTTACTGCAATTTAAAGCTTTACATTTAACGACGAATTTTGTCACTTGTTCAATCCTTTTAAGGTTTTTGTATGTGTATTTATGCTTTTAAAAATGTTTTTGTTAAAAGAAAAAAGTGGATTAAACAATTTTCGACATGCTATATGTTCTGTCGATGCAAGTTTAATAACTTAAAATATAAAGGAAGAAAAATTAGGAAATTAAAAACGTTTTAAATTTTGAATCATCTGATATAGTGATAGTGCTATATATTTGTATCTGCCCACCTGTTGCTTGAGCTGGTATAAGGAATTTCTATTAGTAATATTAAAATTAATGGCCTAAAATGGCAATATTAAACAGTTTTATGTTTTATATTAACAGCTCATTTAAGTATAAACTGCAGTTAATTCAATGCTGACGGGCAAACGACGTTAATACAACTTTGTTTCCCTTCCTTCAGCAAAAGTACAGTTTTTGCACTCACATTTATGCTTTACATCCTCATGAGTTATAATGACTCAGTGCTTTACATAAAGATGCCCGCATGATATAACAATTTTTTTTAACTTTTATACAAATTATTACGCTCCATCTATTTGTCATGTATTTCATCTCTGATCTAAATAGCATTTCAGTATAAAAAACACAGTTTTAAATTTGTTTATAACGTTCCTAAGTGCTCTCAGGTTCTTATCCTTCAAGGTCAAGTGTTTTTGTGCTTCATTTTTCTGATAGCTTGTACTTCAGTGGATTTGTTTTCGGCCATATCAATGCGAGTGATGCAATTCCCTCTCCCATTCATAATTAGTTCTATCAATTATTCAGATAATGACTTGCAGTGAAATGTAAACAAACTATTCTTACTTCTTAAAAGGCTAGTTAAATGATTCCAAGATGATTAAGTTTTCCTTTTAGAGACAGAGCGATACTTCACATTTAGACCAATGTTAACTAAAATAACGCGTCGAAGAACAGATGTGAAAGGTACTTTACTAACAAAAACTGGCGTAAGTTGCGTAAATTTGCAGGACTTATTTCGAAGGTTAAACAAAATACTCTTCAGTTGCAGGAGGGAAATTTTTAACTTTTTACTCAGTTTACGGTAATTATTGTTGCTACAATATCTTTAATACATTCAGACCATTTTTAATGTGTCATGTAGAAGTTATAAGTTTACGACGATTATTTGTCAAAACTTTTAATGCTATTGTATGCAAGAGCTGATTTTAAATGCATAAAGTAATAAAATATTCATAAAACATTCTCTAAGAAACACGATCCTTTGAAATTCTGTAGCTAATACTTGTAATGAGGACTTGTACGGTTAAGAATTCCTTCAATACTATGTAATTCTTTTTTGTACTGAAAAACCGTTTTTTATGTTATATCCCTTCTTGCATGTTTTACAAAGAAAGATGTGTCCCAAACATCTTTTTGAGAGATGATGATGAGAAATATGATGTATGTGAATTTTCTAGAAATCCATTCAGAACTTAATTTCTAAAATTAGAAGTGCTGGAGCTCTATAGAACGCGGTAGGAAAAAGTTAACAAAAAATAAATTAAGAAAACATTAAATAATTTATAATGAATAAATCAATAAAATAATAAATAATTATAATGAATAAATCAATAAAATAATAAATAATTATAATGAATAAAAATAATAAAAAATAATAAATAATTATAATGAATAAATTAATAAAATAATAAATAATTCATAATTTTAATTACGAATAGCAATTAATAATTACAATTGTGATTATATTAATAACTAAAATGAGACAAATAAAAACTTATAAATTTAGCTTAATTAAAGACAAATATTTAAATAATAGATTATAACATCAAAACTCACTTTATTGGAACATCAACCTGAATTACAAATTCACTCAAAAGCTCAGAAATACCAGAACTGAATTTAAGCTGAATGGAAGCGTCTGAATGGACGAATGTATTTTGACGTATACAGAAAATCGTTCTTTAGGATTTGATCCCAGGTCGAACTACCGGTATTCAGCCATCTTACCCACTCAGTAACTGGTGAGATGAAGAATCACGAGATGTTGGAATTTCATGGGGAATATTTTTTGCGCTAAACAAAAGAATTTTCTTCAATAGCTTCATCGTCTTGCTTTGATTTCCTTACTCCATGGAAAGTATTGAAACATAACAATATCAATTAAATTATGATCACAGTAACATAAAAAAGAAAGAATTCTTCATTGAGAAAGAAATACTACATTTTTCTATTTCTGTTACTGCTTGGGAAGATGAAACGGAGATGTGGAAAGACTGTCGCTTTGAAATTTTGCAATTTGTTCTAAAGTACAGTCTCCAGAAAGCGACTCTTAGTAGTAAGGATAAGGATAAGGAACGGGGGACGTGGTCACTATGCCTCTACCATACGGTTAATTAGTATAGCACCACGTCCACCATGATCTAGAGAACCCTTAAGACAACACTAATTCAAATACGTGAGTGCATTATTGAAAATGAGGGATTGATTACAAACAATTGTGGTATACCTTGGCAGTAAAATTGTTGCATTTGTGTAAATAACAAGTTGCATTTGTGTAAATAACAAGTTACGATAAAGACAAAGATGTAGTGATAATCTGTAAAGTGCTAACGATTAGTATTCCGGTTGTTGCCATTAAAAGAGGATACTTCCTGCTGTAATGGTCACTCCAGGGTCATTTATTCTGCTGCGCAGAGGTCCATGCCGAGACTGGCTAGCTTCTCCATAATTTTGATGAGCTGCCGGCAGAGGTGCTTCTGTTTGACCATGAGCTTACAGAATGCCTGTGTGTTTGTAGTAGGAATACGTATGTGCATCCCGTTGGTCAGAGAGCAGGTAGTGACGTAATGCTCCGGAGTACCCAGGTGACCGCAGCTGCACTGGTCTGTGTCAGTCGTGCCGTGCCTGGCAAAGTACTACGGACTCTTAGTAGTAGTAGAATTTTCTCAGAATTTCTATACGTTTTACTTGTCGTTAAACGAATTCTTCTAAATACAGATTTGTATGGAAGTATCCAGGGCCTAAAAATGTGTGCCTTACATTTAAGAAATCTTATTCCACTGTTTACAGAATAGCAACAGGAGTAATGAAATAAACTTCTAGAAAGTCGCCGGCAATTTTGCTATCAGACAACAAGCAAAAGAGCGCTTTAGGTTGCTGAAATTAACGTTTTATTTCGGAAATAAACACAGAGATTTTATTTGGTTTCCTGTAGGTAATTTTGAAATTTTATACAGTTTTTACTGTGCATTGAGACGGGTGACAAATGCATAGCTCCGAGCTGCAAACGGAGCTCTGGCTACGCCCTTTAGACAAGAATTTTCTCATTCTGAAACAAAGATCAATCGCCGAGGAAGCATCACATGTAGGTGTATTTGTCAGTTCAACTCTAAAAGTCAATTTACATCAAAGAGGATGTATTTGATTTAACAAAACAAGTGATTTTTTTCTTTACTGCTTTAAGGCATGTTCATCTTAGAATAGCATCATCTGCATATTCTCTTTTTCAATAGAGAATTTTTTTCAAAGGAATAATATCCTTTCTCATATTCATGTCAGTAATATATATGCTGTTAAAACAATCGAAGAGTTCTTTTTGGCTAATGATCTTGCAACTATTTAGAGCAACCCATTTAGTAGTTTGCATACATACAGATCAGGTGATAACTCACACTGAAGACGAAAAGGTTAGGCCAATTTCAATCTACTTGCTACTCAATTTTCAGTTCATTTCAAACATACCTGAGGATTTCCAAATGGAATATATAAAACTGCGATCGGGTACATACATGAAATTTATTTATCTGGATTTTTGTAAGCTCTTCTTGCCTAAAAAATATTCCAGCACTTATCACACATTCTTTTTTTATGAGATCTCTTTTTACAATAAACATGCCCTACAAAGAAGAAACACTAAAAAAGAAAAACAAAAGCATAAATTTCTGACGACCATCATAAATATGCACTGGTTTTCACAAATTAAGGAAAATCACAGAAATAGTGATAACTCATTCAAAAATATGCCAATCCTTATAAAATTTGAATATGTTGTCAAATAAAAGTTGCTGCGTAAAACTGCAGTATGCAAATTAGGGGCGCTGTAATCGGAATACGTTACGTGTGAGGTGCATAAAATTGCATATTTGAAAGCAAGCCTGCAAATTTCGCTTTGATATCTAGATAAGAAATCTGAGAAAGCTAATTCGTAACAATGATCTCCTGGTATCATTTTTCCGAAGAATTGAGATAGAGAGCTATTGGGAGATCAGAGGTAGGACAAAGTCAGGTAGATGTGAACAGATGGTTAAATGTGAGTATTGCTGTGATCCATAAACTTCAGCAACAATTTCTAACCACAGAATTGGCATCCAGGAAGTTCAGCCAAAGACGGGCAACTGCTATGACGAGCGTCAATGACCGATATTTGTTGTTATGCGCACGAAGGTATAGAACCACATCTCCGACTCAACACATATCCTCTCTTGCTGCAGCCAACGGAAAATTGGTGTCAACATCAACTGCCTTCACGAAAAAGGTCTGTAAGCGAGGTGACCAGGTATTTGTGTGCTTCTCACGTTACATCATGCAAGGGAACGTTTGAGTTGGGCACGTCAACATGCTCACTGGGCGGCTGGTCAATGGAGGGCTGTTTCTCTTTAGGGATGAGTCCAGGTTTAGCCATTAAAGCTATAGTAGGCGTTATTTGATTTAGAGAGAACCTGGAACCCGTTATCCTCCGTCTTACATCCGTGAAAGAGATTCCATACGGAGAAAGCAGTGTCTGTGTTTGGGGTGGTTTCTCTTTAGATGGACGCACAAACCTCCATGACTTTCCACGTGGAACCGTGAATGCTCAACTGTGCGCTCTTATGCCGGGGTAATAAGTGATAATTTC